GAGAGAGAGAGAGAGAGAGAGAGAGACAGACTCTGAGAGAGAGAGAGAGAGAGAGAGAGAGAGAGAGAGAGAGAGAGAATAATCATATCCTCTTTTCAGATAGAAGATGAATGTATCTATGAGAGAGACGTTTCAGGCGAATGACATGAATGAACAGCCTGTCTTTTTTCTTATTTGAAAGTTGAAACAAGTCCAGCAGTGTCACGCTTTCAGTTTGTGGCCCGCTTGTGATTTGTTGCCCTTTGGAAACTCTTTTGTGTCACAACCAAACTTACCGCTTTTTTTTCTTTTGCCGTTCTTTTTGCAGGCATAGCGGCAGGCCCGGCAGTGCCTGCACCGCCCGCAGGCGCTAAGCTAGTTGGTTCTGGTTTATTCTTTCATTGTTTTAATTATTTTTGTTGTCAAGAAGAAGTTGGGCGAGAAATTGGAAGTTGGAGATGGTGGCCACTGATGAAACCAACATACAAGCATGCATGTAAGCACACAATGCAAAGGATAAAGATTCAAGAAGAGACAAGGGAACGGCCACTGGCCAGAGAAGGGGATTTGAGTCATCATTTGACATTGATCTTTGGTGGTGTGCATCTTTTTCGTCTTCTTCGTCTTCTTCGTCTTCTTCCATTCTTATTTCTTCTTCCTCTTTTGTCTACTCCTCTTTCCAAGTTCCTTCATTTCAGTTGCAATGGAACGGCATTGTCTTTCTTCGAGTTACAGCACTGCAAGATAGCCAGGATCGTAACATCTTCTCCTTCTTTCTTCTCCTTTCTTCTTCTGTCCTTCTTGCTTTTTCCTTTTCTTCATTTTCTTGTTCTTCCTTCTCCTTTCTTCTTTTCTCTTCTTCTTTATTCTTACTTCTTCTTCTTCTTCTTCTTCTTCTTCTTCTTCTTCTTCTTCTTCTTCTCTTCTTCTTCAGAGTTCTTCTTCTTCTTCATCTTCGTCGTCTTCGTCTTCTCCTCATCATTGGGGCGGTCGTCTTCTTCTCCTGCTGCTTTTCACTCCCCCTCCTGCTCTTTGTCTTCCTCCCTCAGGTCCCATCCGACGTCCTGCCCCTGACGAAGAACACCCCTTCATGCACATATACAAGCTATATTTCCGGTTTCCTTTCCCCCATTGTCTTTTGTTTGTGTGTGTGCGCCCCTCTGTGCTCAGGCTTGCATCCGTTGACGGTCACATGCACACAAGCACACACAGGCACACACTCACAAACAAAAGTGGACAAACAGGAAGAATATGACTGACGATGATGATGAGGAGGAGGACTAGTAGCCTAGTAGTAGGGAAAGAAGGAAGAGTGGGGAGTGTAGGGGGAAGAGGATGACCAGGAAGAAGAAGAAGAAGAAGAAGAAGAAGAAGAAGAAGAAGAAGAAGAAGAAGAAGAAGAAGAAGAAGAAGAAAGAAGATTTTCATGATGAGGGGCAAGAAGAACAAGAAGAAAGAAGATGATGGCGATGAAGAAGAAGAAAGGGGAGGAGGACAAGGAGCAGAAGCAACGAATTTGCAGCATCAATGCAGGCATCCAGACGTGCGCAGTTAGCAGTTCGCGCGTTAGATCACACAGATTTGTTGGTTGACGCAGGCTTCTGCTCAGCCTAAGGCACGTGAGCACCAGTTGGCAGTTGCGCACACAGGCCTATGCACTAGTGCGCCGGTCAGGAATGCATGCATACACACACACACACACACACACACACACACACACACACACACACACACAGCCAAAGACGCTCTCACACAAGCACACACACAACAAACCAAACAAGCTGGAGGAGGACGAACACGAACAAAGAAGAAGCACAAGCACAGAGCCATTAGACATTCCCGCACATTTGCTGGAAGGTGGACACTGGGCAGTGGGCAGGACTGCCATTTGCAGACCGGAATTCAAGCCTACAATTTTATGAGGTTATCCTTTTTTTTTCACGTTAAATTATCATTTCCTCAACATGTGGGTGATGATTCTCGCTCCCGACCCGGATAAATAATAGGGTGTCCACTGTCCAATACCCAGTTTCAGTTAGGAATGACTGGAAATCGGGTCCAGTGTCCCATTGTCACAGAAGGAGGAAGGGAAGAGCCATAAGACGGGACTTCTGCATTCAAGTCATGACTTTGGGGCAATTCAATTGCCGCCCACAGGACCAGAAGTAAGGTCCTATAACTTTAGGTCCTAAACACGAAAGAAACCAAATGTAACATTAAAAAAATGGAAAAGAGTAAGAAAAACAGAGGAAACACTAAGAAAAAACGAATCCAACTGCTACTCAATAAACCTCTCAATAAACCTTCTCCTCATCATGCTCAACTGCCCCTGCCCTCGTGCTCTCTAAGACTGTGAAGAGAAATCAGTATGCCGGTTTGATCAGGGATAAGCCCGATAGTTACAGTAGAACCCCGCTGAAACCCTCCTTTAACTGTGTAACTATTTGAGGGGGGGAAGAAAAGGGAAAAGGGCTATTATACTCAGCTATCAACGCACAGAAACGGACATGTTACGTGCGCAGGTGGGCAAACACACATGCACACTTCCTGGAGAGGAGTGAAGACCAAATCCCTACCCAATGACGGTTCCCTGAGAGAGGCGCCTACACCTTTGTAGGATTCCACGTGTACTGAACTTGACAGCCTTGCTGTTTGATGATGCATCTCGCACTCAAGGAGGGGGGGAAGAGGGGGGGGGGAGGGCGCTGATGATTGCCTTCACTCCACAATATATAGAAGAAGAAAAGGGATTTAAGGGAACCTAGCATCCTCTGAATCCAACAGAATCTATAGTAGAATACACATGACCTGTTCCTCAGACTGGTCAGGTCAGGAGAGAATCAGGAATCGGTCTAGACTTGAGAGTCCTCTGAGGGCATACTCACACTAGGACGCCATTTACGGGGAGATTCATTCAGGTGTTTTTTGGCCGTAATTGCGTCCAGAATCCAGATGCATTCTGGAAAGTGCTAGTGTGAGTATGCCCTCAGATCCAGAAAGAGAAGAAAATGCAAATGAGCATCGCAACTCACGAATGAGAGCCAGAAAAGTCGAAGAGAACAAGGCTTAAGGCCATCACCGCCATGCCCACGAATACGCAGATGCTCACGTACTTGTCCTCCGGATCGTACCTCCTTGCCGCAGGAAGAAGCTCCATCAAAACAATGCTGACGACAACTCCTGCTATAGATCCAAACAGAATGCCAAAGGCCACTTCGGTCATCACGTCGGCCAGCGCAAGGTACGCGATCAGCCCACCCAAGGGCTCTGCTAAGGCAGACAAGAAGGTCCAGAAGACGGCCTTCCACTTGCTCCCTGTGGCATAATACACTGGCATTGAGACACAGATTCCTTCGGGAATGTTGTGCAAACCAATGGCCAGGGACATCGACGCTCCGAGCTTCACGTCCTTCAACGATGACACGAAGGTTGCAATGCCCTCCGGAAAATTGTGCACGCCGATGACGACAGCCGTCAGCAGCCCCGTCCGAAAAAGACGAGCTGCCTCTTGCCTGTCATCGATCGGTGCAGGGGTAGCAGCGTTGCCATCAGGAGCCGCGATGGTGGTCCCCGCCTTTCTTGTTGTGCTACCCTCCACATGCTGAAGCCTCCCCGCGGGGGGATTCTCAACGTCGAGGGCTTTGGTTGGAGAGTTGGAAGGCGGCGCGCTTGGCCTCGCACTCCACGTCGACTGTGACAAGTTGGAAGCAGTTGCTGTCGCTGCTGCATGCACGACGGGGGTCTTCTCATCCTCATCGCGCATCCAGGAGGGCAGACTTGTGCCACGGCCATGAGCATCCGAGAGAGGAGGCACTCCTCCCGGGCGCTTCCCACGGATCATGCCATTGCCCAGAACGTGAAGGCCCCCATCGAGCAAGCGAAGAAGAAGAACGCCACCGAAGAAAGATAGGGTGGCATAAAGCTTCGCGTACTTCTCCTCCAAACCGCCCTTCTCAAACGATTCGATGGACTCGAGGGCCAGAAGGTCGTAGAAGGCAATGTAGAGCATCACACCAGTGGCGATCCCCAGCGACACTGCCAAGATTGTACGATTGGCCAACTTCGCGAAGAACACCCCGGCAGCTCCCAGTACAGTAGCTAATCCAGCCAGGGTTGTCATCAGAAAGGGAATGCCGATATCACCCTTGGCGACGCCCATTGCAGCGCCACTGGATCACCCGAAGAGAGCCGCAACCTCGCCTCGCCGTCGAATACTGGACACAGCAGAGAGACCACACGAGCGTGACGATCGAGAAAGGGTGCGCGGACAGCCCTCAACAGCTGCTGCCAGAAAGAGACCAGCTAGAATACAGCGAGATGGATAACCTGTCTATCATGTAGTGCCATTCCTTCGTCTTAACTGGCCCCGCACATAAGCTCCTCAATCCACCTCTCTCTCTCTCTCTCTCTCTCTCTCTCTCTCTCTCTCTCTCTCTCTCTCTCTCTCTCTCTCTCTCCCTCCCCTCGCCTCGCACATAAGCTCCTCAACCGACGTCTCTCTCTCTCTCTCTCTCTCTCTCTCTCTCTCTCTCTCTCTCTCTCTCTCTCTCTCAGCTACCGTTGCTACTCAGTTCATGGAAAAATTGTCTGCGATAGTGTATATTTATGGGATGGCGACTTGGCGTTTGCAGCAGCCCCCTGCGCCCAGTCAGACGGCGACAAGACGTATCCTCTCTCTCTCTCTCTCTCTCTCTCTCTCTCTCTCTCTCTCTCTCTCTCTCTCTCTCTCTCTCTCTCTCTCTCTCTCTCTCTCTCTCT